CCCTTTCACAAAAGGCAGAAAAGAGCCCCTGAGTGAAAGGCGATTTCTTAGCCACATAATGGATAAATTAATACAATGCAAGGCCAAAAAGACATGGCTAGTCACGCAGTCAATGCGAAATAAAAGTAGTACCTCTCGAAGTTCTGTTCAAACTCAGCCACTTTATTCAGCGTGTCTGGATGAGACCAAACCAAATCGCATGCTAGAGTCCCTTTCATGAACTCATCAATGGGACGTGCAATCTCACGTATATCCTGAAAACATGGTATGAATTACAAACTGAATGACTTCCTGCTGGTCACAATCAAAGGGTACGGAAAGTCCGCGTTAGGGACCGTGGAAGGGTATTCAAATATGGAAGAGAGGTTCTCGGGATATTCTTCAGTGGAGGGAAATTTGGGAAGAACGTCGGAAGCGCCTCTGATGGTACCTCTCTAGCTTTCAGCGATTCAGGTCAGCAGAAGGCGAAAAGACCGCGATGGGAGGAGTCCAACCGGCTGATTCTTTGTAATGAACCCTACAACTGCCCAAGCGACAGCAAGGCCTCAATTTCGTGCTACTCATCCATATCAGTAGCCCTGAAAGGTGGGCGCCAAAGTTCCGGAGGTTTCGGGTTCCGGAGGCGGAGTCACTAGAAAAAAGGCGGGTTCACTGAGGCAACGTTGCTGCTCAGCACTTTACCACACACTTTTCCGCAGCGATACTGGTACAAGGTTGTCCGTTGCGGTCAACGCTAGCATTCCCACGCAATACCTCACATTTTTCGGACCACATTTTTAACCGCGGACCGCTCCTTCGGAATTACATACCTGCAGTGACCGTAGTTTTGGACTAATGCCTCCATGCATTGCAAGAATATCACGTCCAATTAAACATGCAAGCGGAAGGTTCATGAAGAATTTTTGAAATGATCGTACATAGGATCCCTCGCTGTTGCTGCATCAGTTGACTTAGCTGAAAACAAATATATCGCTTTGATGGACAAGCTGGTTTCTGAAAGGCCTACCATCAAACTTAGCGTGAACTTCCGTGGCAAACGAGTACAACTGATTCAGGCTTTCTTCTTCGTGATTTCCTCGTATGACGAAAATGTTATCAGGGAAGCAAACCTGAAATTCTCGGTCGCTTATTTTTGGCTAGGTCTACCTTTGTCCAGCTATGGACAATTATGTAAGATCCTCAGATTGTGTTGATGCTCTGCGGCAGTGTTCACCAGCGAGCATCAGCGTTTCGAGCGTCCGTCAGCGTGAGCGACGAGGAAAGTATGGATAGGTCTGGCGTCTACCAGCGTATACAAGCGCCCATCAGCGACAGCCAGCGACTGGGAGTAGAGAGCATGGGGCAGCAGGAGAGTAGCAGACTGCTGGTGGAGTATGCGGGATTAGGAGTAAGGAGACAGCTGCTGGATAAGGCGTCGTGAAATTGTGGCGTGTGCAACCGTACCGTCCTACTGCGCAATCCCGTATTCCTGGTGGCGCTGGTGGTCGCTGGTGGACGCTGGTAGGACGTTGGTGAGTGCTAGATCGATATCTATACTTTCTTGGTCTCTGACGTTGACGGATTTTCAAGGCTAATGGACGCTAATAGACGCTGCCGCTAAGTATAAACTCATCTTCACCTTATTCGGCGCTATGGATCCCTGCGGAGTGTCAGAGATGGTATAGTGGTAAACAGCACGCTCGCTATCCGCACGGCCCAGTCGACTCTCGCCGTTTCGCCCAGGCCACAAGCCTCCTATCTTCCAGGAAGGGTGAATTGGTGCCGGATTGGCCTGGGAGGCAGTGCACGCCATTGCGTTGTGATCATTTCCTGAGAAATACGACTCTCCCCCTAATTCTATCCTCAAATACGACCCCCCCCCATGCTA